TGTCCCATCTCTCTCTCTCTCTCTCTTTCGCTTTTTTATTTTTTTATTTTTTTTATTAGTGGTGCATCGGGGAGCAGCAGTGAATCAGAGAGCAGCTCGGAGTCTGACACCGACGAATCCGAGAGCAGCTCCAGTGACAGCGAGTATAATCAGGCATCCCGCACAAACACCCCCGAGGTAGGATGGCATGGATTTATCTGTGTGTGTGTGTGTGTGTGTGTGTGTGTGTGTGTGTGTGTGTGTGTGTGTGTGTGGCTGTGTTTGCATATCGACACCCTCTTAAAAAGAATGGCCCAAGTCATGTTTTCAGGTTTTTCAGAAAACACAAAAAATTAACTAAACATATATTAACACATAACACTTCTTAACTATTTCACTGGAAACGGTTACTACAGATGACAGTTTGAATTACGGAAAGTTTATGCACACACAGAAAATGCTCAAAAAGTCACAGTGAACAAAAAAAAATCCCTCATTGTACAAGCTGCTCAACAGAACTGACAGCCTCAGCCAGAGGCTTCTCCAGGTCAGAGTAAGAGATTTTCTTTCATTCTCATAGCAAAACATTTACACCAAAACTATTTCATTGATATTGATACCGATATATCAGCCATTCTTTATAATACAAAGACAATAAAACTTTTTATGTGGATTAAAGGACCGCATAGGTCTCCGGGACCTATGCGGGTGTACCGTGTCTATCTTTGAATAGTAGCTAGTCTAGGCCCCAACATCCTTTGATACTGATTTGGATTAATAAGGGTGGGTTAATAAAATTAAATGATAGACATTCTGCTTTATTATATTCTGAATACTTTATAACATGATCAGGTGGAATTCAGTTTTAGTTTTTTAGTTTTTTTTAGTTTATTGTACAAACCAGATTGGAAACGGAAGGGGACTTGTCTCTTATATGATACTAATACCACCGAAGAATTAACATCAAAAGCATGCTGTAAAAAGAAAAGGGTGAAAAAAAGTGGATCAGTCGTGAAATACATTGTTTAATCTACCAATTAATGTTACATTTTTTCATCCCGAATCAGAGGGAAACCATTATGTTTTTGAGATAGAGCTTTATTTTAACAACGATTAACCATTTTAGCCATTAAACTTCCTCGAATGTGTTGCTCTGACAGGTGTCAACAGTTTCGTGACTAATTTGCGTCTGATCCCCCCCCACCCCCAACCCCCCCATTTCCTAATACTCCTTCACCGTAAGCCTGACACCACATTAAACTACCAATTAATTCCCTCCGTTTCTCGGTGGTGCTCTGAATGTTTTAAAACCCTCAGCAGCAGATGAATGAATTATAACATCAGTTATCACATTATTTTAATGGTTCAACACCACCTGCTCGTTCACGCTTGTGAGTCGACTGCACCGGGAGAATGTGAGGGGGAAACAATCCAGGTGTAAGGAAAGGAAAATGGCAACAGTGAAGCAGCTTTCCACAGTTTAAACTGTTTAAACCGAAGAAGAGATGGTTGTTGTGATCTTCCTTACTCTCTTTAGCCCTAAACATTGTGCTGAAAGTTGCACGATACAGAGTGTCTTTACCAGGCTCCTCTTTTCCTTCTCTAGCCCGAGCCACCCTCGAGTAACAAGTGGCAGCTGGACAGCTGGTTGAATAAAGTCCAAACCCAGTCCAAACCCCTGGTTCCACCACAGCAAGAGCATCATGGTGCAGGTTAGTGCCGATGGACGATCAGCCCCGCTGTGTCTGCCTTTAAACTGCTCCATTAGAAAGGCTTTTTTCTGGTCGTTAGGCTCCGTCAGCCAAGATCCTCAGACGTTCTCTCCGAGGAGCGAGGCACCGGGAGCGGGCACAGCTGCGAAGACCAAGCCTTGTGGATCCAGCAGCACATCTGCTCCAGCTGTGCCCGTGGTGGAGCACAAGGATACAAGGGCAACCTTCTGGTGCGTCCCACTTGCACAGAATGCTGTCAGAACAAAATGTAGGCTGTAACAGGGGAAGAGGAGAAAGTATTTCCGTCTGATTTATTTGCTCCGCGCAGCACCAGCAGAGAGAAGGCCAAAGCCAAGATCAACCAGAAGGCCTCGGGGGAAGGCCAGAGGTCGAAGGTGAGACTGTCGCCGGGCTTGCTGTCGGGGCAGGAAGTGGCAACCCCGAGGAGGAACACCACCGGGAAAAAACAGCCGCGGCGGACGGAGAGGTCCAACAGCGTGGAGGATGGACAAAATCAGACCTGGAGCAGGGCAAATCAGCACAGGTAGCCACCTATTTCTGTGATGCTTGAGATCACAGAGAGAAGTAAACGTGTCATTATTAATTTTATATAAAGATATGATTAGTCCCATTTGTCCCATTTCTCTGTGACTCCCAGAGTGATTTTGATCCTAAGTTTTTTCCTCATTCATCTGTGCAAGATATTTAAAAGAGGGAAACAAAAAAAAATGAGGGTGCGAGTTCAGTAATGTGACTTCTGGTTGATATTTACCAAAAATCCACCTGATATATCGCTTTGCTTTTAAAAGCCTTTTCTTTTCTGTTGGTAGAAAACCTTTGATCACTCTAAATTTTATTCCCTGCCTCACTTTTTAAATCCCGCTATGAGACGGTGAGGTAAACAGGAAAAAAATAGGCAACGGGCCCAAGCAGAATGGAGAGCCTTCATTGGATTCTGGAGCATTTTGGAAACGGAATAAAGAAAGATTCCGAGTAAACCAACCTACGCGCTCAGCTTGATTTTGTGCCAGTTAGAAGAAGAAAAAAAAAAGTTATGACCCACCACGGCTTCCTCCTTTAATCACCTCTTCCTCTCAATCTTCCATCTTAAGCTTTCCTAATCCAAACAAAATGAGCTGTGCACATGCTGTTTTCAATTATTTCATATTGTCGAATGTTTTCTTTTTTCAGTTTTTTTTTTTTGGGTAATTTACTCATCTCATCCCCCTGGAGCTGGCGAAGGCAAACACCTTCTGCTGTTTTGTCAGCGAGCAGCCAGGGCTTCATTTCAGGGCCTTGCTCAAGGGTGAATTTGGAGCAATAGTTAGTAATGCTTCCTCTTTTTTGTGTTTCTTTTTTTTTTTCTCCCCCTCCAATTAGCCCCACAGCCAGAGAGAAGGACCTGTTGCCTCCCCCTTCCCTGGAGCACCAGAACCCCCCGAAGCCGCGAAGTAAACCTCCCAGTGGGAAAACGGCTCCGAGGAAAGAGCCTCGCAGTGCTGCCAACGCGTTGCAGCAACCCCCTGCGCCAGTGCCTGCTGCTGCTGCCAGCCAGGTTAGGTTTTAGGGGGTTGGATCTGTGCCTGTGTATGCGTGTGTGTGTGTGTGTGTTTGTTGACAGCTGAAACTTTACAGCTCTCACGATAATCTGGGATACAGCAAGTCTTACGGGTATGCCAAAGCTTATCCATTTATCCCCACACGGTGACCATGGTGTAAAGTCTTTAAATGACCACCAGTGTACAACTGAAAACAGCAGTAAAGTCATAGATACTGAAGGAAAAGAGGAAGAAAGAAAAGCAATATGAGGACGTCTTGTCCAGTCTACAAAGCAGATTTAAAGCCCTAAACACCAGCGTTTAAAGGAATCCGCAGACTGTAATGAAATCATGGAAAGGTTAGCTTAATCTAACTCCATAGAAACCCATATACAAACCCTTATTTAGAGGAGCGGGAGGCATGACCATCGCTTTCCATGGCGCATTATCGATTGTCGTGAAATTCATTTTAGTTTTGTGAGTTTTCATGGTGTCTATGGCGAAGGTTTTTGGTGTCATTGTATTTACAGGTTCTTTTTACCGTCTTCCTCTTAGTAGGAACCTTTAATATCGTATATAAGCATATAACATTTGTCCTTTAACTTCCTCAGCTGATCAACCATCCGTATTTACATAGTTTAAGTATGAAAGACTAAAGTGAATACTATTATGACCAATACTAAGAGAAACTCACCTTGACCATTTACATAGTGCCTAGCAGTCAGCAGAAAGTGTGTAAACCTTTTTCCTGTTTGCACTGTATTACAGACAGGGGTCTGATCTGGAACCAATGCCTAAATGTGACATCATCCTGACGTAACTTCTCTGACATGTCTTCGAATCGAATCGATCGAATTGATGTCATCGGACAAGCTATCTTGTTAATACAGACTGAACTTATTTTCCCCTCATTTCCTTGGGGTTTATCCAGGTTCGGGATTTTTTGGGATCCGATCCAGCGTTTTTACAGGACAATTAACCCGAAAAGATTTTGTGAAGTTGTCTTTCTTGCGAACTTTTAGCTTAATGTGCCGTCGGAGATTAAGCGGTAGTTAATTTAACCTGCGTGCTGGTGTTTACATCATCGGGCTCTGATGTGAGTGATGACACGAATTGTGATCTTCAGCCAGGTCTAACTGTGCAGAACAGTGTTTGGACAGCTAACGTTTTCAGTATGAGGAGGTAAGCCCACCGGGGAAAAAAGGGAAGAAGACAAAGATGAGCATTTTTCCACACTGTACAGCTCAGCACAGCCATCTTTCTCTCCTTATTTTGGAAAAACAAAACACACGATGCCATTAAATGTTTCTCACAATGGCTCTGCAGATGGCGGCAAGCATTGGAAAGATCCCAAAACTTGGCCTCGTCACAGCGAGTGGGTTTTTGTGGGAAACTGTGATCGTTGGTGATGTTTTCTCGTCACAGCATCCGCCTCTGTTGTTGCTTTCTGGTGTTGATGTTGCAGAGAGCACACATTCTCACTTCCCGTTGCATTCATTAAAAAATAATCGGCGACGGGGTCAGTTTTGTCTGAAGAGGAGCGAGGGCCAAAATGCAGCGCTACTTTCCAAATATGTCCAACACGTATCTGTGCAGCGCATGAAATGGAAAATACAATGAGGAAATTGTTGCAGGAAGATGCCAGCTGGCAAATGACTTATCTGACACACAACAGGAGAATTCAGTTTCTTAGTCTAAAGGATAAAACAGGAGGAACAAAGCTAACATTAATTTAATCTTATTATCCTACATAAAATCTTACTTATAATGAGGATAAGCACAACTGTCCCAAATGGATCATCAGATCAGGTGGCTCAAAACAGGAACAGTAAAATGAAAAATACAAATATAGGAATACAAAACAGCCAATTAGGAATATATTACTAGAACAGCCCCAAATGGGGAGGATAGAATCTTCAAACCAGTCGTCAAAGTTTTGAATAATAGAAAACAAAGACTCAGTGGTTTACAGAGAATAAAAATAACTGCTCATTAATTCATGTGAAACCACCAAATATCTTGGAGGAGACTTATTCTTGCAGTTTTTTATGTGTATCCTTAAAAAAATTAGTCCAACAATAATTAGGTGAGTTTTTCTTGCTCTCCTCAAAGCTTTGCATTTAACTCAGGCACTGTGGCTTTTATTCATGCCTTTAAACATTCCTGGCAAATTCACCTTTCCCGGGTCTGTTTCTGGGCTTTGATGTACCTTAATTCCTCTGTAACAGAACTCCCATTTTTATATCAAACTCTTACGATAGCTGATGCCCTTGATCTGTTGTCAAATATCTTAAAACATTCCGAACGTTGACAGCGCCGCAAAGATTGCTGCCACGCTCTTGTGTTTAAGCCGAGCAAGCCCGGCTTTTGAGCGAATTCAAAATAAGAAATCTCAGGCGCATCTTTTAATTTGCATGTGGCAAACAGACAGCCTTGCGCTCCTCGGCGCGACTCGTGCACGCCGAATATTAGCGCCGTTCCGAATTAGACAGTCAAACATGTTTCATTTCGCTTCACAGATTAGTAGAACAAGCTGGCGACTCGTGCCGCATAATTTGCATGATATTATCACCCACGGTTGTACACTGTGTAAACTACGCTTTTTATCCTAACACGGGTCTTTAGTCTTTTTCTAAGGGTTTGAGATTGCATCGGCCTATAATAAACATGCCAGGTTATTGGCGGGCAAAGGGTGCCTTTTAGTTAGGGTTGTGTGTTGCTGTTTTTTTGGTGGAGAATCCAAAGAGAATCCAGGCTACCTGTGAATCAAATGTGTCATAATTGACTGAGAGTTAGCTCAAACCTTCTTTTGAATCTCCTCCTCACGGCTGTCTAAAAATCCATTCGTGTGCATTTCAGGATAAGAGGAAACACAGAGGCCCGAGCACCAGGATCACGCCAAAGTCCAGGGAATTCATCGAAACCGACTCCTCCTCCTCCTCGTCCGAATGCCAGTCCGACGCGGAGGACGCCATCAAAATCCCCGCCCTGCCGCCCCAGCCCGTGCGCTCGGCGCTAAACGCCCAAACCCTGTCCAACACGCACGCGCACACGCCTCTCCCCCCCTGCCTCGGCCCCGCTGGTGGCGTGGGGAGCGCCGAGACGTTCGGGGGGGCGGGTATCCGGGTCAAAGACGGTAGCGGCGTGAGCGCCAACGGTAGCAGCGGTAATAACGGTAGCGGCATTGGCGGTAGTAACGCCAACAGCAGTAGCTGTAGCTCCCTGAGCATTAGCAACATAAGCGGCTCCTTTGGGAATTCCGTTCCTGACCCGGGAGGGATGGGAGGCCAGGGCAAGGACCCGGAGGCCATGTCGCCGACTTCAAACGAGGGCCACGACGCGCCCCTCTCCCCTCTGAGGGACTACCACGAGATTCAGAACCTGTGGGTGAAAATCGACCTGACCCTGCTCAGCCGGGTGCCCGGGCAGGGAGTCGGGGACAGGTCCCGGGCGGGAAGTGCGGAAACGGACGGGAGCGACGGGAGAGAAAGAGGCGTGGGGGAAAGGGAGAAGCAGAAGCCGGCGAAAGGGGAGAGGCCGCAAGAAGAACAGGACAGGCCGGACAGGGAGAGGCAAGGGGACAGAGAGCGAATAGCGGAGAGGGACAGGCAGGCGGAGAGAGAAGACAGGGAGAGATTTAGTTTTGGAGAGAGGGAGAGGCCGACAACAAGGGACAGAGACAAGGTTTGCCAAGGCCTCGGGGCCCTGGACAACCCACCTGTGCAGGAGCAAAGTCATCCCAGGCTGACCGGTAGGGCAGAGAGAGGGGAGAATGGGGGAAAACACCGGAGGCAAGCAGCTGCCAACATGGCCACCCCGACAGAAAAACACACCAGCAAGAGCAAGAGGAAACACAAGGTGGGAACCAGGATGTTCCTCGGGGACTCCCCCTATCAGTCCCCAAAACACTCCGAAACCTGCTCCCATCACTCTCTCACATATCTTTCGTTTTTCTTCCCCTTCCACGTTCCCAGTCGGACCACGGAGAGCCATCGGTCAAGTGCAATAAGAAGCTGCGTCTGGACAAAGACCGTCTGCTTCTCCCACCCTGCATCTCCCCGGTACACAACCACAAGGGCAGCTCCACAGAGTGAGTATTTAGCTTCCCACCACACCTCAAAGGGGAAATCAAACAAATGCGAGACCAAAGGGAGCAGGGAAGAATTAAAGGGGTTAACAGGTAGGTAACAGGTAGCTGTTTTTTTGCTTCTGGTGTCAGAGCAGTAGAACCAGAAGCAACCACGCTACAAAAGTTTGGAGGTGAAAAATAAGTGGGTTGCATTGCATAAAAGACAGAGGTTCAAAAGATATAAAAAGATACAAAAAATACACACTTAAGCCAACATTATCCTGAACAGGATGACCACATTTGTGCAATGCAGAGTAAGGGGTTTAAGTCACATGATGCAGAGGCATTTACTTTACAGGTGTCTTCGATAATATCAGGAATAATGTTAGTATAATTTTAAAAAATGATTCATGATCTAAGTTACTGACGCGAATGGAGACAAGCATCAACCGTCTCGCATCCAATTTTCATCCTTTAACCAGACGCTCATGTGACGTGTCAGTCATCGTCACAGTCTGACAAGCTACCTGGAGAATTGCTGTTTTTTCCCCCCCGTTTTTTTAAGGGGGCTTCCACTTGTCAGTGTTGCGATGAAACCATCAGACGGGGGACTTCATCTCACACCGTGACACAGGAATAATGCGCTGTGAATTTCAGCTTTCCAGGTGAAATACTGAGGAAGAGAAAAAAAAAAAACGTCTGGATGTCTCTATAAATAAGTCTCCGCGTGACAGCTGCGGAGGATATATTTTTATAGCATCTCAGCGTTATCAAAGGGGTGGAAGGGAGAAAAACGGGCCGACCTGGAGTTGAACCGGAGACACAAAGGGATTGCTGCCTTTCCTAAGTTTATCATCCCACCTTTCCTCATACGCCATAAACCCTGCTCAGACTCCTTTACTCACCTTGTGACTTTTGGCAGGTATCACCCCAGCTTGGGTCTTTTTTTTCCTTTTTTTTATTGCTCTTTTGACCCCCTAATTACTTTGCTGGACACAAGTTCAGCAAAGTTCAGTTTTTCCATTAACAGAAGCGTTTTTCGACTGTTTTTGAGAAAAACCGCGGTCACAGATTTTCCCTCCGGCTTGTTTATTTGTAACATTTTGCAGTGAAATATTTCAGTATTTTATTGTAGTGATCATTAGATACGGAACCGGAGCTTTGTTCTGTCTTGATCAGAATAACCACATTAGTTTTGACTCTACAAACTAAATGTTAAAAAGAGTCTAAATAGAATTTGCCAAACCGGATATCTTGTTAGGTCATTTCTAATATGCAGATTTTTTTATTATACAAAAAAAAGTAGAAAAACTTTGCATTTTATGGAGTTAAAGAGATTATAAAAGGGTTGCTAGTTTCAGTTTTTGACAGCAGCCTGCGCTCTGAATTAGAGGTATTTGTTCACACCCCTGTTCACAAGTCATGGGTGTTGTTAGCAGTGCTATAAAATTGTAATGAACCTTTCAGTGAAGGATTCTTGGTGTATTTTCAGTGCAGATGGAATAGATGTGTTGTCCATCACGGAAGGAACAACACATGGCCTTCAGAGATGTTGCTACCCGTCAAATCCTGTTTTCCGGGAAAGTTACCACAGCCTGCAAACAAGTCGTTAGCAGTTGATTTAAAAACAAATTTTTAAAAGATCCATGTGTGAAAGGGGCGTACCTAACTGGTCGATCATCATCACGTAAAGCTTAGTGTCACTGAGCCAGACAAAGCAGGCGAATAATAGAAATTTCCAGCAAACAGAACATCAACGGGTCGTCTTTACTGATTTCAGGCAGATTAAACCCTAACCCTAACCCTAAAACGCAGTGTGCCACTGGCTTGATCTATGCGCTTAGTTTTGACACAGCTCACACTTTGGACACCAACTTTTAACTTTTGGGATTAAACCGGATTGGATTTGAAAGCAAAAACCTTGAAAACTAAACATATTCTTACTATATTTTGAATAAACGTTACATTTTTAATGACTTTCTGTGTAGATTTATTTTGCAAACCCGAGATAGCTCTTATTGTGCTTCTCAAAGCCATTAGATTAAACTTACATGGAATGTGGATAAACGAGTCCTGTAAGACCTCTGAATTTGTCCTCAATCCATCCTGAGTGCTTTCTGTGTGCGCTGTCCACTTGTCATTAGACTTTTCAGGATAAGTGTTTACACGATTTGTGAACAGGATCTTACATGCTTGCGTGTTTGTTGAGCAGCAGAGACGGTAAAATCAGAGGAAAAAGAAACCAATGACAAGAAAGGCCATCCGACGTTCTATTTTTTTGGACCAGTTTTTTATTAATTAGATTTTTTTTTCCAACTTGGCAAATTAAATCTAAAATTCCAATAGTTTCATGGTCAAAAAAAGAAATAACGTAACAGAGGGATTTTCTTTTTTTAGTTTAGCTATACAAAGAAATGAAATTGAAGGGGAGACACATTTAGTCGGTTCTTGTTAGGAAATGAGATCAAAAACAGTAAAAGCAGAGCAGCTGTCAGATGCTGGGGGCACCTGATCAAATGATTTGTGGATTCTTGGAAGGTCTCTTAAATATTGACAGTTTGCAGTTTTTACCATATTGCTGTGCAGGTCAATAAAGTCTCATAAATAAGTGAAAAACAAACTCTACATGCAGCCCCTCTCTGTAGTACTGGGTTTTTATTTTAAATGGAAAATGTATTTTATTTTCACTTTTATGCATCTCTTTTTGACCCTGAAACAGAAAAACATCTTGTCGTACATGGAATTTGAGTAGATTTTCATCATTTTCCTTCGTCTTTTTGTCATCATTCTTAGTGCAAAACAAAAAAAGAGAAATTCAAAATGTATCACCTGTTTCATTTTTCATTAAAACGATCATGATATAGAACACACATGTACAGCACGGTAAGGAGGTCTGCTACTCATTCTGGTAACAGGTTTCCACCTGTTTTGCTTCTTGTTTTAGCCTGTCATGTCATAAATGACCCAAAAAAAGGGATCAAACCCCAATCTAACTTTGTCATTAAGTCATTTACCTTCCCAGCTGGCCGGTCCGATGTTGGTACCATGACGTCAACTATGAATTTAGTTTAACTGATTCTTAATTTTCAGCGAATATTTTGTAAAATATTTTTTTTTTAAAAAGGGAGGTAAAAAATTATAATCTGAATCTCTCACATTTTTGTCTTCAAGTCAAAGAGAACCAATAATTTATCGCGCAAGCCTGTTCAGTGTGGCAACTTTTGCTGTTTTGGCAAATCATCTGGTGACTCATTGCAAATGTATTAGTGTTTTCTGCTAAGAGGCACTAAACTGAACCTGTTCTGCTTTTAAAATGAACTCTGAGAGCCCTCACCTGCTACTCTACGCACAGAAACCACCATCCACTTAATGGCAGATTCAGAAAAACACACACACACACACACACACACACACACACAAATTAGCATAGTCATGCACACAAAAACACCTTCAAACATCAATTATGCAGCACACACACGAGCGGATTCACACACGCGCTCTCTATGGTAACTAATTAGTCTTTGTCTCCCTGATTTTGTATATTATCTCTAATGTCGGCGCCTGGGGGCTTGTTCTGTGAGCTCAGCAACTTTCTAGCTGCATCAAACCCCCAGAGTTTCCCGGGTAAGGAAACACATAAATATATTATCTCAGAGTTGCAAACAGTCTGAGCCGCAAAAGCTACAGAGCGGCAGCGGAAGGAATGCTCATCCGTGTGCTACCAAACAAGGCAAAAATTCCAAGAAAAGTATCGTTTCAGATCTGCAAATGATGCATTTCCCAAATCGTTGTTTCCTTTTAATCACACTCCATCTCAGTGTTTATCTTCTTCCGGCAGGGATATGAGGAAAGTTAGCTCCTCCAGGAGTCTCCTCACTCCTCATCCTCGCCTCCAGGGGCATTTAAGTGATCGTGCCCTGATGTTAGAAGTGACAGTTTCCACGTTAAAGTGGAAAAAGGCATGTAATGAAGCAGAGTGAAGCATTGTTTTCTTTTTGTTGCTTCCATTTCCCTATTAGCGGCTTTATCGTCTGTATTGTGTCAGCTAAACACAATTATTAGCCTCCTTTTCTCACGCATCACAACTAATTCCATTCACTTTACACAATGATGCTGAGACTAGGATTAATCAGAGCCTGCTTCAAACAGTCCTTGAATGTGTCCTGCAGCTTTTAACTCATTGGCTGCCAAAGACGTCTATAGACGACAATTCAAATACTTTTATGTTTTTCAACGAGAGTGGCTTGGGGGACGATCTGCTAAAGCTTGTCCGTAAATATCAGGCTTCTAGACAGAGTATGTAGTAACAAATTGACCCTCTAGGTGGCAGTGCCACTTTTGATGGCAGATGAGCATATACTTTAGGCAAATAAGAAAAAGGTAATGGTTCGCTATGAGAGAACATGTCGCCGGTGAGACGCAAGTCGAGGAAGAACAGAATAAGGTAGAAACAATTTTTTTTTCCTGATGAAAGAAGACAGTCTACTCTTTCTTTTGGTATGTTTGGTGTTTACATAATCATAGCACAAACTATTCTGTGGCTCTGGAAAAATCAGTCAAAATGCTCAAAAAACTCTGGCAGTATGGGACTCTCTGTTCTGAAAATGGCTGGCAGTCAATGAGTTAAGGGGGCTGAGTGGAGCCCCAAAAGTTGAGAAGAAGATCCAGCTTATTGGTGATTGCTGGGCAAGACAGTGTGAAAAATTTTAGAAGGTCAAAATAATTGTCAGTCACACGGTAAGGCCTCCGTACTCTTACAGTCTCTACATCTTTTACCCATGATTCCTTCAGGATGTGTTGTGCAGGAACTTGTGGGGCATTATGTCCTACAGTGTTTGTTTTTATATAAAGGATTATCATCCACGTCCTAGAAAAAGATCTCACTGCTCTGCTGTTTGTGGTGGTTGGTGTAGCCCTCTCAACAGGAAGCAGGCTCGGCGGCGCGACGAGAAGCTGCTCCCCCCCTTGCTGTCGCCCCTCTCCGACGAGCCCCCCCGGAAACGAGCCTGTGACGGCGCCTCGTCTCTCGGCGAGGAGGGCGGGCCCGCCGGGGTGCCGCCCAGCTCCTCCACCTCCACCTCGTCTTCCTCTCACAGACACAGGAGGGGGGACGGAAAAGCCTCCTCCAGTGCCAGAAACGGCACCGTAAGTGCATGTTACCCGACAGAGAATGGTGGCATAAAAAGGATCCTCATGTTTTTGGCGGGTGCAACATCTGGGTCTGACATGAGGTTATGTCGTAAGACAGTGTTTTTCAACCTTTTTTGAGCCAAGGTACATTTTTTCATTGAAATAATCACGAGGCACACCACCAACCAAAAAATGTCAAACAAATCTGTAGCTGCCTATAGTAACACTATAGTTATTCTTATCTTATCAAGTAATCGACATTTCGTTGTCAAGATTCACCTTGTGTTTTTTGTACAATGACAATAAAGGAAGTCTAAGTCTAAGTCTTATCTTAAGTGTCTTGAATAGGAATCAAATAAACACAAAAATGTATTTTTATCATATTTTATATTTCGTCTTTCAAATTGCTCTTAACATGTCCACTTCAATATACAAAATTATATACAAAATCTAGTCATAAGGAATTATTACATGATTACGCCACCAGTCACTAGTACAGCACAGACACTCAAAAATTGCATATTATTTGCAGATAATTAATTCCTTATGAAAATTCTTTTTTAGACCAATTAGGTGAAATAGAATGATTTTCTACGGCACACCTGACCATCACTCGCGGCAAACTAGTGTACCGAGGCACAGTGGTTGAAAAACACTGTTGTAAGAGACTGAGGACACTAAAAAGTGTCTCACAGTGGATCCATTACTCACAGACAGACAATAAAAGGTTCAGCAGTTGGTCCATGAAAGCCAGATATGAACGCGCCGATACTATGTCAACCCCCTATTTCTACCGTAGGAAATGGATTCCCATGCTGATAAACCTTGCGGAGACGGTTACCATGCCAACGGCCACTCAGACTCCGAGGTGTGGTCGGAGCCTCTGATGGACGCCGCCGAACCTCGCAGGCCGAGACTTTCATTTAGCGACACGTAGGTGGAAACCGCCACGAGCATGTTCTCCGACGGTGTAATGACTCGTAGGTCATTACCGGGTGAGCACTGACACATTAGCTGAGGAGGGTATTTACCGGGATAAGCTCTTAGCTGGTCTCATTCGGAAGTCTATTTAGCAAACTGTGTTTTTTGCTGTAAACAGCGCTTCCCTGTCAGGGGACATCAGCTGTTTTTGTTCTTCTTTTGCCCGAGCTCGTTTAATTGTACAGCAAAAATGCGGGAGATAACAGGAAACCGAGGATTCCTGATTTTAAGGCACACAAGAAACATATATTATATGGCTCACTTGCACAGACGTGAAGTTTGAAACTTTATGTGATCCTTCTCCAAACTAATGCTGTACTTTTTAGATGTTTATGACCCTGTAAAGTCTGACCCAAGAAAAAACAGGTTATTTGTTAATTTAACAAAGTGCAAAGAAAGAAACAAACAAATGTAATTTTCTCTAATTTAACAAATATTTCCCGCATAGTTGCAAAAGGCTTAAATAAAAGATGTATTCTTTATTTCAGGGATTTATGACCATATGAAAGTGCATTAGGTCTCAGTAATATGTCTATCAAAATTAATATGTATGGTAACAAAGGGTTAAGAAAGTCTTGTCTCTTTAGATAAAACATGTTACGACATTTTCTCAACAGGTATTTAGTTTTTCAACAATAAACAGAAATAGATATCTAGACAAGTGAAGCTTAATTCACTACACGTATATCTTTAAGTTTCTTTAGTGGTCAATACAATCTGAATTTTATTAGAGCAGAGCAACAACTTTTTTAAGCTGCTGTGAATTTGGATACACTCTTGATAGATTGATTTTCTGTCTAGATACCTGGCAGCTTAAGTTATCTGGCCAAAGGAATAGAAACATATTTAAAAGACATAAAAAACATACAGCCTGCAACTGAATTATTTGTGTGGGAGTGTGTCAGCACTGTTTGAAAACTCCAGTTGCGTATGCAATCTGTAGTTCAACTAAAACAAACTGCTTTTTTTTCCCCCACCATTTTCTTTTTCGTGTAAAAAAAATGCTTCTTGACAAAAATGAACAGACTGAATAAGACTGGGGCACGAGAGAAAACATGTAAAAAATCAGCGCTCCAGGTTTTCCAGATAACTGGTCTGTTATCAACCACTGCAACAAGAACCAGCAATCTTAAATCACATTTCAAAATAAAAAAAAACAAGCTGTGATCTTCAGACTGGTGCAATAATGTGTTTGTTAAAAATCCTCCCGGTTATATTGGACAGAAAGAATCCTTTCTTTTTTTTGGAGGGGGCAATCAATTGTTAATACTATTAGTGATATGGCATAGTCTTTTTTCTCTTTGAATAAGTATCTTCTAACTCATCAGCTACATATATCTTTTTGTTCTGCCTTTTTGTTCTGTAACCACAAACCAGAGCATATTAATATTAAGGATCCCCCAATAATAACAAAAACTGGACGCTCAGTACAGATCCAGAACACGACCCTTGGTGCTTGATCCAGTCCATCTAAAGAGAGAAAATATGACAAGGAACCAGCACAACTTGAATAACTTTGCCAGTCAGAAGAAATATTTAATAGTTTTGGGGCTAAGGACTTCGTACTCCCAATTTAAGAAGAAAAAAAAAGTCAGGGAGTGGGGCAAGAACCAAAAGGAACATCCCAACATTTTATTTAATTTTGGGCTGTAAATCACCACTTGTACAATCATGCTGACGTCTGAATAGATGATGCATCTCCTTACTTATTTGTCCCAAAAGGGCCTTTGCATTATTCATGAGACAACATGTTTTGTTGTTATGCTAAGGTTACATTAAGCCCGAGGTGTGTATACATATGTAGACATCTGTGTTCTGCGCTCTGCCTGCTAGTCAGTCAGTAATTATGTAAATCACTCTGTCATGCCACATGCTTTTTCTCCTTTTCTTTAAATTATTGTTTAATGAAATGTCAGTGCAGATATGCTTCCCTTTCAGTTTTCTTTTTTTTTTTTCCCCTTGCGCTCTTTTCCAGAGTCCACAGCGCAGACTTCTACATGCAGGAAGCAAAGAGACTGAAGCACAAGGCTGATGCTTTGGTAAGTGCGGCTCAATGCTCCACTGAAAATCAATGACTGAAAGATACACACTCAGTCCACATACAGTGTGGGAGGCAGGTGGTTAGATACCAGGAAGGCGAAAAATGATTCCAAAACACACCATTTCAGTCTAGCCTGCAATTATACGTTCGCTGTAAGTCTCCCTGGAATGAAAGTCTATTTTGTATCAAGGACTGTGCTGCATAATTTGTGTTATTTACCGCCTCAAAGGGAACACTGCATTCAAGGACTGATGATGTCTGCAACATTATACAGTGTCAAAAGAATGATTGGATCCTCCCACCAACAATGAAATGAGATTTATTTAACTTGTTATTTATATTATGTTTACGAGTTGTTTCCTCAGATTTATGCAGGGATTTGCATCTTAGTGGACGATTATTCAAAAAGAAGGCTGTGCTTGTGTCACTTACTCCGTCTCCCATTCACTTATTCTCTGCCCCGTCTTTGCTGCGTGGCCCCTCATTTTAACTCTGTCATCTTCTTCTCCAACCCCCCTGCCCGCAGATGGACAAGTTTGGCAAAGCTGTGAACTACGCAGACGGCGCCCTGTCCTTCATAGAGTGTGGTAACGCCATGGAGCGAGACCCGCTAGAGGCCAAGTCGCCATATACAATGTACTCAGAGACTGTGGAGCTTATCAGGTAAGGCTAAAATGACGGGAGGGGGAGAAATATTTTTTTAGTTTGCAAAAGGAAGCATATTGGTCTTATTCCACTGAACTGTGCTCCTGTGGGAAAAGTGATTTGAAAAGGCAAATGTGTCAATTGACTTATATGATTCACAAGCAGAATTGATATACAGGTAAGGCACAACACAGAACATGCACTATGTTCAAGAGAATTATTAGATAAAAACTTTGAATAAGTCACCTTGACACAATGCATCTGACTTGTGTCTGTAATTATTTTAATAATAAAACTCTTAACTAGCCTTCTGAGGTTCAAAGTTCTCTCGTGAACTGGTCTCCATCTTTCTCTGGATGTGACAGATTATAGGGAAATACAGCCCTAATTTCAGGAAGCAAAATCTATCCTCTTTAGGAGAGTTTTTACATGAATGTTTGAGTGTGTGTTTTTGATTTTTCAAACATAATCACTGTTGTCAAAAACATGTTTGACACCTAGCAACTGGCTAAATCCCATGTTCTTCCCTTGATGAGATTTTATTTCTTTTCCTCACTAAAAGTTGTTCTTTGATTCATACTCAATAATTGTCTTAAGGTAAGAGTCCTATTAAATTGATTTTAGGAAAAGTTACAATTTGAAATAGTTCTAAGAAGCTTGTGGAACACAGGTCCAGAATTCCATGGTCACCATGGCTCCTCCTTAGGGGCAGGATGGCAGCATCTTTTAAAACAAACAATAACACAAGCGGACCATGTAGCTTTTTCCATTCACATTTCACTGCAGCTTGTTTTTTGGACATGTTACATCGCTGGTAGGAAATAAAAGACTCCCAGAGACTGACGGAATTGGAACAACAAACTTACAAAATGAAAAATATCACATGTGAGTGATTTAAAAGACTTTAGTCCATATTATGTGTTTAACTAGCCTTCTGAAGTTCAATGTTCTCTCATGATAACAAAAATAATTTCCCTCTGGGATTATTAAAGTATTTCTGATTCTGATTCTGATTCTGATGATCAGACCAAAAAGGAGGGATTTTCTCAGTTTTATACTTTTAAACATTGGATTAATTAAAGAAAATATCCCAAAAAGTGGAAGAAATAATGATAATTGATCAATATTTGTTGTTATCATATATCTTTAATATGTGATTCAATGTAAACTGGCTTTAAAAACCATTTTATGCCATAAAAATGTCCTTTCAATCCACTTAGATAAACATAACTGGTCTCCTAAATCATCATCATCTACTGAACCAGTACAAGTACTTTCAATTTTTATAAATGGAAAACTACACATTTATTTTCCCCAAACAGAATTAGACCAAATTTGATCCTAATGAGTTGTTTCCATGCTAACCTGGCCAAAATGGTCTCCATCTTTCTCTGGGTGCGACAGATTATAGGGAAATACACCCCTAATTTCAGGAAGCAAAATCTTTTTTGAAACATAATCACTGTTGTCAAAAACATGTTTGACACCTAGCAACTGGTTAAATCCCATGTCCTTCCCTTGATGAGTTTATTTCTTTTCCTCACTAAGAGTTGCTCTGTGATTGGTCCTCAATAAATGTCTTTAATGTAAGACTCCTATTAAATTGATTTTAGGAAAAGTTACTATATGAAATGTTTCTAAGAAGCTTTCGGTACACAGGCCCAGAATTCCATGGTCACCATGGCTCCTCCTTAGGGGCAGGATGGCAGCATCTTTTAAAACAAACAATAACACAAGTGGACCATGTAACTTTTTCCATTCACATTTCACTAGAGCCGGCGTTAAGGATATGTCACATTGCTGGTAGGAAATAAAAGACACCCAGAGACTGACGGAATTGGAACAACAAACTTACAAAATGGAAAATATCAGGTGTGAGTGATTTAAATAACTTTATTCCTTCTAATGTGTTTAACTAGCCTTCTGAAGTTCAGAGTTCTCTCATGATCAGACCAAAAAGGATGGATTTTCTCAGTTTTATACTTTTAGATATTGGATTAATTCAAGAAATTATCCCAAAAAGTGGAAGAAATAATGATAAATTATCAATATTTGTTGTTATCATATATCTTTAATATATAATTTAATTTAAACTGGCTTTAGAAACCATTTTCTCCCATAAAAATGTCCTTTCAGCCCACTTAGATAAACATCACTGGTCTACTGAACCAGTACAAATACTTTCAATTTTTAAAAATGGAAAACTACTAATTTATTTTCCCCAAACAGGATTAGACCAAATTTGATCCTAATGTGTTGTGTTTCCATGCTAACCTGCCCAAAATGGTCTCCATCTTTCTCTGGGTGCGACAGATTATAGGGAAATACAGCCCTAATTTCAGAAGGCAAAATCTATCCTCTTTAGGAGAGTTTTTACATGAATGTTTGTGTGTGTCTTTTTATTTTTCAAACATTATCTATCACTGTTGTCAAAAACATGTTTGACACCTAGCAACTGGCTAAATCCCATGTCCTTCCCTTGATGAGAGTTTATTTCTTTTCCTCACTAAGAGTTGCTCTGTGATTGGTCCTCAATAATCGTCTTTAATGTAAGACTCTTTAAGGTAATTGATTTTAGGAAAAGTTACCATCTGAAATGGTTCTCAGAAGCTTGCGGAACACAGGCGTAGAATTCCATGGTCACCATGGCTCCTCCTTAGGGGCAGGATGGCAGAATCTTTTAAAACAAACAATAACACAAGCAGACCATACAGCTTCTTCCATTCACATTTGTCTACAGCCAGTTTTAAGGACATATCACGTTGCTTGCAGGAAATAAAAGACTCCCAGAGACCTACGGAATTGGAACAAACTTACAAAATGGAAAATATCAGGTGTGAGTGATTTAAATAACTTTAGTCCTTGTGATGTGTTTAACTAGCCTTCTGAAGTTCAAAGTTCTTTCATGATCAGACCAGAAAAGAGAGATTTTCTCAGTTTCATACTTTTAAACTTTGGATTGATTCAATAAAATATGCCAAAAAGTGGAAGAAATAATGATAATTGATCAATATTTGTTGTTATCATATACCTTAGATATATCATTTAATAAAAATGTCCTTTCAACCCACTTAGAAAAACATCACTGGTCTGCTAAATCATCATCATCTACTGAACCAGTACAAATGCTTTTGATTTTTTAATTAAAAGCCAAAACTCTTAATTTATTTTGCCCAAAAAGGATGAGACGAAATCTGATCCTAATATGTTGTGTTTTCATGCTAACCTGCCCAAAATCGTCTCCATCTTTCTCTGGGTGTGACACATTATAGGGCAATACACTCCTAATTTATGGAAGCAAAATCTATCTACTTTAGGAGAGTTTTAACATGAATGTTTGACTGTGTGTTTTTATTTTTTGAAACATAATCATTCTTCTCAAAAACATGTTTGACACCTAGCAACTGGCTAAATCCCATGTCCTTTCCTGGATGAGAGTTTATTTATTTTCCTCACTAAGAGTTGCTCTGTACTTGGTCCTCAATAATTGTCTTTAAGGTAAGACTTTTTTAAGATAATTGATTATAGGACAAGTTACTATCTAAAATGGTTCTAAGAAGCTTGAGGAACCCAAACCCAGAATTCCATGGTCCCCATGGCTCCTCCTTAGGGGCAGGATGGCAGCATCTTTTAAAACAAACAAGAACATGAGCGGACAATATAGTTTTGTCCATTCACAGTTGCGGTTTATGGATATGTCACATCGCTGGGAGGAAATAAAAGACTCCCAGAGACTGACGGAATTGGAACACCAAACTTACAAAATGGAAAATATCAGGTGTGAGTGATTAAAATAACTTTATTCCATATTTTTATGTTTAACTAGACTTCTGAAGTTCAAGGTTCTCTCATGATCAGACCAGAAAGGAGAGATTTTCTGAGTTTACTACTTTTAAACATTGGATTAATTAAAGAAAATATCCCAAAGAGTGGAAGAAATGATGATAATTGTTCAACATTTGTTGTTATCATATATGTTAAATGTGTGATTTAATGTAAACTTGTTTTAAAAAACCATTTTCTGCCATAAAAATGTAATTTCAACCCACTTAGATGAACATCATTGGTCTGCTAAATCACCATCTACTGAACCAGTACAAATAATTTCGATTTTTAAACATAAAGGCCAAAACTAATCATCTATCTTCCTTAAAAAAAAAATAGACGAAATTTTATCCTAATGTGTTGTCATTCCATGCTAACCTGGCCAAAAATGGTCTCCATCTTTCTCTGGGTGTAATAGATTATAGGGAAATAAACCCTTAATTTCAGAAGGCAAAATCTATCCTCTTTAGGAGAGTTTTTACATGAATGTTTTGTGTTTTGTGTTTGTTTATTTTTTCAAAAATAATCACTGTTGTCAAAAACATGTTTGACACCTAGCAACTGGCTAAATCCCATGTCCTTCCCTTGATGAGTTTATTTCTTTTCCTCACTAAGAGTTGCTCTGTGATTGGTCCTCAATAATTGTCTTTAATGTAAGACTCCTATTAAATTGATTTTAGGAAAAGTTACTATTTGAAATGGTTCTAAGAAGCTTGTGGAACACAGGCCCAGAATTCCATGGTCCCCATGGCTCCTCCTTAGGGGCAGGATGGCAGCATCTTTTAAAACAAACAATAACACAAGCGGACCATGTAGCTTTTTCCATTCACATTTCACTACAGCCGGTTTTAAGGACATATCACGTTGCTTGCAGGAAATAAAAGACTCCCGGAAACTGACGGAATTGGAACAACAAACTTACAAAATGGAAAATATCAGGTGCGAGTGATTTAAATAACTTTATTCCTTCTAATGTGTTTAAGTATTCTTCTAAAGTTATCTCATGATCAGACCAGAAAGAGAAATTTTCTCAGTTTCATACTTTTAAACATTGGATTAATTCAAGAAAATATCCCAAAAAGTGGAAGAAATAATGATCATATATCTTTAAAATATCATTTCATTCAAACTCGCATTAGAAACCATTTTCTGCCATAGAAGTGTCCTTTCAGACCACTGAGATAAACATCACTGGTCTGCTAAATCATCATCATCTACCGAACTGGTTTCAGATTTTTAAATATATAAGCCAAAACTACTAATTTATTTTGCCCAAATAGGATTAGACCAAATTTGATCCTAATGTGTTGTGTTTCCATTCTAACCTGCCCAAAATGGTCTCCATCTTTCTCTGGGTGTGACAGATTATAGGGAAATACACCCCTAATTTCAGGAAGCAAAATCTATCCTCTTTAGGAGAGTTTTTACATGAAAAAACCAGACCAGAAAGGAGAGATTTTATAAATTTCATACTTTTAAACATTGGATTAATTCAAGAAAATATCTAAGAAAGTGAAAGAAATAATGATACGTGAACAAAATTTGTTCTTATCATATATCTTTAATATGTGATTTAATGTAAACTGGCTTTAGAAACCATTTTCTGCCATAAAAATGTCCTTTCAACCCACTTAGATAAACATCTCTGGTCTGCTAAATCATCATCGTCTACTGAACCAGTGCAAATACTTTTAGATTTTTAAATATAAAGACCAAAAATACTAATTTATATTGCCCAAAAAGGATGAGACCAAATTTGATCCTAATATGTTGAGTTTCCATGCTAACCTGGCCAAAATGGTCTCCATCTATAGCAGGATGTGACAGATTATAGGGAAATACAGCCCTAATTTCAGGAAGCAAAATCCATCCCCTTTCGGAAAATGTTTTACATGAATGTTTGAGTGTGTTTTTATTTTTTCAAACATAATCACTGTTGTCAAAAACATGTTTGACACCTAGCAACTGGCTAAATCCCATGTTCTTCCCTTGATGAGAGTTTATTTCTTTTCCTCACTAATAGTTGCTCTGTGATTGGTCCTCAATAATTGCCTTTGAGGTAAGACTCCTATTAAATTGATTTTAGGAAAAGTTACTATCTGAAATGGTTCTAAGAAGGTTGCGGAACACAGGCATAGAATTCCATGGTCACCATGGCTCCTCCTTAGGGGCAGGATGGCAGCATCTTTTAAAACAAACAATAACACAAGTTGACCATGTAGCTTTTTCCATTCACATTTCGCTACAGCCGGTTTTAAGGATGTCACATTGCTGGTAGGAAATAAAACACTCCCAGAGACTGACCAAATCGAAACAACAAAAAAAAATGGAAAATATCAGGTGTGAGCAATTTATATCATTTTAGTCCTTCTAATGTGTGTAAATTACCTTTGGATTAGGCAAATCATATCTCTGATGACAAATTACGCCTTTTCATCGTTTATCAATTAAAACCTGCCACATGGATTTGTCAAAAATACCTTGTTTGATTTCCTTTTCGAAGATTTTGCTGAGCATTCTTATAAAGATTACCACTTTGGTTTCTTCAGTTTTAACTTTCTGAACCTAATCTGTGCTTTTAGAGTGAAGAAGCTTTCCCCTGTAACCCTTCCAAACAAGTCATACTTGTTTTGTCATTGCACTGTAACATTTAACCATAGCCTGTAGAGTCTGGGAAGTTGCTCTTTCTGTCTGACCGTTGGGGGAAATTAAGATATGTCCACCTTTGAGGAGACTGGACTGTCACATAAATGTTTTCTACTTTGAAATAATCTTTTTCTTTTAAAAGATGGACTCCAAATCTGAAAATCTTTTTCAGATTGTCAGTGCTCGAAGATCTTCGATGATATCCTTGATGGCACTGACGTGGGTTTGGATGTAATTTGATGTTTCCATGACGTGAAATTTGATCATGGTCTAATACAAACAATAAAAAAGAATAAGGGTGTTTTGTTTTTTTATAACTTGACTTCATAGACTGTTGTGTTGTCTGGAAAGGAATAAACTACTAAATGTCCATGTACAGCATCTGTAAAATGCCATTAAAACCTAAAAGTCTATATAACTTGAATTTACAGAACACACCCATCCACCCTGACCTCTTACTGTAGGTGAATAGGCTAAAGAGAATTCCACCTCTATTATTTTTTTTCATATTCAGGCTTCCCTGAAAAATCAATTCTAACTGTAAATTGAAGCTCTGAATTCATTCAGACTCTACTTTTTTCTGCCTTTGGAATCTGGAGCTTCAAACACACCTTCTGTACAAAGTTGCTAATCAGTTTCATTTTAGCAGAATCGCATTGCAGGATTGCAGCTTGGCACCTTTTTTTTTTTCTTTTTTTGGGGGAAAAGATGCCTTAAAGAGAGCAAGCTGAGACCTAGGAAATGAAGCCTACTTCTTAGAGCCGCTAGCTGGTTGCAGAGCGCTGAAGTGGGACGGAAACATTTAGCTGAAGGGCTCGGGTTTGCAATCTTCTCATCTGCACGCGTGCATCCTGCTCAAGTGCCCTTGTGAAAGACGCTGACTCACTAGCGCCAAGAGGGCTATTTATCAGCGATCTGACCTCTAACCTTCCTGAGGAGAGAACCAAAGGAAGAAAAAAAAAAAAGACACGTTTTCATTTAAGGGGTAGATAAAGAATGAAGGAATACCTCCTGATCCTTAAGGCAACCCTGCTGAATCTCACTCTGACCGAGAAACCACCCTGAGTTCATGAGGCTACCACAAGCTGCTGAAAGCAGCGATATTTTTCCTCTTTCAGACAAACAAAAACAAAACCAGAGGAGAACGGCTTCCTCTCCACAGGGTTAGACGAAGCCGAATTGTAGCTTGTTTTGCCTGGGGCCGGTTTCAGTTCAAGTCTATCTGATAACGTTTCACTTTCTTCCATCTTGCTGTTGTCATGACGAGCGGCTCTTTTAAAGGTTTTTAAGAAGTTCGCCTCTTAAAGTTAGAAACGGTCAAATGTCTGCGGATGTCTAACGAGCGTCTCTCGGCTGCAGGTACGCGATGAGGTTGAAGAACTTCGCCAGCCATTCAGCCACCGTCTTCGAGAAGAGACTGGCTGTGCTGTGGTATGTATGTGTGTGTGTGACTGTGACAATGTGCTTATTTAAGAATAAAGCAGACTCAGGCCTCCAGTTCAGCTCTTACAGCCAGTCAACCGTTTCAATCAGACCCCAAAGACACTGCTCTATTTTTTATTTTTTTCCTCAGAAAGACTCAGCTTTTGAATTCAAGGATCCAAAAACAATCAGAGAACCCTGTAGTAAAGCATTCATTTTGGACAAATAGAGAAAGAGAGAGCAGATTCATAGGAAAACAAACAAGAAAAAAAAAAGCTAGTTCAATGTGGGGTGGAGGGGAGCGAAGACAATGACAGAAACTCCTCCTAAAGACAGTGATAAAGCTACATAGGAATTACCAGTGCGTGGCTTGGAAAAGCAGCCTCTCACAAATTTCTGTTCAAATTGACGACGTCCCATAAATCTGTCCCCGCTGCCTACAAATGGGAAGATTTTCCCAGATTTCCCGGCCCCGTCTCCTCACTGCAAACCCTCCTAACCTGTGAGGACCTCTGGGGCGGGTTTGAAGTCCGGGTGCATTCTGTGCGGATGACATGAAAAATAATATTAAGGACGGGGCTTCAAAAGGAAATCTGTGCAGGGGATTCATCTGCCTTCCAACGCTTGTGTTTCCATAGTAACCGCTGTCTGTCTCTGCTGTATCTGAGGATGTTCCATCTGAAGAAAGACCACGCTGTCAAGTACTCACGGTCGCTCATGGAGTACTTCAAGGTAACCCACACACACACACATACACTGTTGGACACAGTCTTGATCCCCCCCCCCCCCCCCCCCCCCCCCCCCCCTCCCCTCTTTCATTTCCTCCTTCTGTGAAAAACATGCAAAGCCAATTACAGTCCCTGAAAGACATTTCATATTCATTTTCATGCTGCCTGTGCATTAATTTTGCATGCCGTTATTAAATTCCATTCTTTCTCTTTGGTATTAATGTATTAATAAGCTCCATCAATCATCACCGAGGATTGTTGGGGTTTAATGTGCTTGTTTTGATTAATTATGTTTAGTTTAATTAATTACTGAGTGTGTCATTATCACAGTGCTGCATTTGCATTGATGGGATTGGATTCCTGAGAAGAGACTGACTTGGGATTTAGCCGCGCATATGTGCGCAGGCTGTGTACATACAAGCGCGTGTTGACAGAAAGTCAGAGCGGTTCATTTTTTTTTACGAAGGAAAAAACAAAACAACCCCTAAACAAAAGAGGTTTTCCGAGAAGGAGGCAGGCCCGGCAGTGAGGGCGTCCTAAACTGTTCCAGGGAAGCGGAAAAATTGCAGTTATTGAATTAGTTATCAAACGGAGATCACAGCATTGCCTAATAATGCATGATTTGGTGAAAGAAACAGTTCAGAGTCACATTTGTGTTGAAAAATATGCACAAAATGTCACAATAACCACAGAGAAATACAAAACAGCCACACAAAAGACACTTTTTTTTTTCTTTAAAGCCTAAACTGGGCCATGGGACAAGAAAAGTTTCCACTTTGGAACAAATTGCCCAAGGTCTTCAAACAACCACAGAGAATCACAAAGCCACTATAAAGAAGATGTAAAACAACCACAATCGGACATTAACAGCTTAAAAAAAAGAGGTGCAAACAAACATAAACCGCTGCAAAACAGCCGCCAAGGCACTCAGAATGACAACAAAGAGACTGAAAATGTTTCCAAATGACCACAAAGACAGTTGAAAAAACTAGGACACACAAAATAGACAAGACAGACAAGATAGCTGACAATATTTCTAACTTCATCTAAATGGAGGTTCCAATTCCACTCGAAAATAACACCTTTACCCACAGGACACATCGGCCTGAATTTTAAATCCACATTTTTGTTTTTTTACATCTTAATCAATGTTTACTTAACGGATGGAATACTAAAGTTATTATAGAGCACTAAATATACATAATTGACTCAACTTGTTTGCCACTGTGTTACAGTACTTCATCTTTTGATAAATGCTCTACAATTGAACCAGGGGAAAATGCAGTGATATATAGAGCAAATGTGGAGGATATATGCTAAAGTCTTGTCAAAGCAAGGACTTTCCTAATAAAATGTCCTCAACATTAGCAACCCCTCCCAAGATGCATTCCAGTTCTTAAGGTACCTTTACAATTAGATTTACATTCACATTACTTCATTACAAAAAATGATCGGATGAACATCTCACACCTTCACTTTTTTGTTAGTTCTACAATACAAAAGTTCTACAATAGAAGAACTTAATTGTAGAACTAAATTAAAGTGTTTTTTTCGGACTACAAATAGTCATTTTTGCTTTTTCTTAACGTTTTGGCCTGAAAAAATATTTAAAAAAAGGTATTTGTTTTCACATCACCACCGAAAATGTATTGATTAATAGGTTTTTGCTTTGAAAAGCAGATGGTTTTAACTGCTCAGTTATAAAGTATCAAATATAAGATTCAAGTAGTTTGCTTATCATTTCATTGTGAAATTTACCAGGTTGGAGACTTTTCCAAAACAGTTTCTCCATCCTAAATATAAATTATGTAAACCGTTATTTGTAACTTCCATTTCTTTGTCTTCTTTTATTTTTTTGTGATTCTAATATGTTGCGGACGGTGCTGTCATGCAATGTTTTGTAATGTTTAAAACAAATATACTAAAAAGGTGAAGTGGATAGATATTTTTCATAAAGGTTGAAACGGAAAGAGTTCAATGCAAAGTTTTTTATTGATGACATTTTTGGTGCATTTCTCCTCTCTCAAAGCAGCCAAACTGCACGCTTTCATGAATTTGTGTTGTTGTGATCTAGAATTCAGCCAAGAGTTCCCACCAGGCACCTTCTCCATGGAGGACCAATGGAAAGTGAGTACACAGGCACACAGTCACTCACCTAGATAATTGAGAATTTATAATTCGGCAAGGCTGTGCCGCGGCATACCGAGGCACCCCTGACAGCCGCTTGCTCAAACAAACCCCTCAGGAAGCAAATAAAGGGATTGATTTGTTGTAGATGTGAGGCGGAGAAAACTGGAAGGGCTGCCGAGTGCCCGGTGAGAGGGAGCGATGATGGATGGAGGAGGAGAGGCGTGGATGAGTCGAGGATGTGAAACTAATGAGTTTGGACAGCTCTGTAGCTGCACAACAGCAGGACTGGAGCTGAGCGTGTGTGTGTGTCTGTGCGTGTCTGTGTGTGTGTATCAGACATAACTTTTGGATCGACAAGGGTCAAGGCCACATCACAGACATGACTTCATTCCCCGAGCCACACACCCAACGGTGCAGGACAGGGAGAGCACTTTGTACTCACATGTGTATTGTTAATGCTCAGTGGAGGTCAGAAAAGCTTCCAGCTGAACCCCCCCCCACCCCCCAACCCCTGTTAAAAGAGTGCTTTTTTTCCCCCCATTCCCCTCAACCGTTCAGGGTCCATTCTTTATGTCCTTTTCCAGTTCTCAGAGTTGCAGTTTAAAAAAAAAACAGTGAGCTCTGCAAGCCTTATTGATCAGGATGATAAATATTAATCATTAATTGATAATCCACAGTACAAAACAGACGTTGCAGGCTTTCCCTGGCAACAACTGCAAAGATCAAATTATGTCAGATCAAATTATGCACCAATCTGGACGAACCTTTAGGGTCGGTGGGTGGAAATAACTCATGATCATGTTTATTTTTTAGCTGACTGGGTGATCCTTTACCAAACAAAAAAGAAAAAGGCTTGGTTAAATATAGTCTTCTTTAAAATTTTAACTGAAATATATGTAAAGATGTGCATTCTGACATGATTTTTTAACTTTTACACGTGTTTTTTGACTGTCATACAATGAAGGTTTATTGTGTGCACTGAGTTTAGCTTCTAGCACAGACACGCATGTGCATGTGTTATTGTTAACAGCAACAGAAACTGAGCAATAGGAGCTATTTACTCACCACTCCCTGTGAAAAGTTTTATTTCAGATCGTTGCTGCCCAAAAAGGCTGACGGGGAAAAAAGCCCGCCACCTAATTTTACGCTTGTTTTGGTTGTAATTGTACTGATAATAAGGGAGCTGTTTGAATGATTTCATGATTTAATGACACTCTCATAGACAAATAAACAAGTGCCGAGAGCCTCACCTTTGGCTGGTCTGCTAAAATGCTAACAAGCCTCAAAGTTCAAACTGCGTTCATCGTTTAATTTAGATTTACAATGGGGCAAAGGTCTGTAAAGGAGTCATGGTGCAAACCTCAGAGGATTCAGCGTGTTCATAGAGTATCTTCGAGATCACTGTTTTCATGGTATGATCTCAATAAATCTATCTTCTTTGTTTTAATGCCTGATCCACTTTATTTTTCATCTTATTAAGTTTTTTGGGGGGGTTCCACGTCTGAGGCTCTAAAGGATTAGGCCACTAACCCTATCAGACATCTTTGTTTACACTTGTTTTTAATCTAATTTAATGAACATTTCTCTCACATTTTTACTATAAATTACAATTTAAAAATAAAGGAAGTATGATGCAGGTTAGTGCCTCATATTGCATGCACAGCCTCAAAGGGTTCGTCTGAGGGAAGAGCAAGAATTGGAGATGGATAATTCTGGGACATGAACCCAGAATTATATAGTAATTTGAGAAGGCAGTTGATCCATGTAATGCCCCTGTAGCCTTGTGTATAAACAGTAGTATGAAATAGCAAATAGTAGATGAATAAAAAGTGGAATGACTTGGTGGACCCAAATATTTTCTTGAAAATCTTTCCATACGACTTTACACTAGCAACAAACAGCAACACAGACTAACAAATAGTATGAATCACAAAGGTAACGCTAATATGCAGCGGTCCAAGTTTTCTGTTCAAAACAAAACAAAGATCATAGTATTTCAGCTTGAACTTTTTTAAAAAGGATCCACATAATGAGTGGAGAAAAAGAACAGAACTGATGTCAAAAGAGCTAACAGTGCCAATCATTGTGCTGTGCAGCAAAACGCCTCACAAACGCTTCCAAATGCAGTGCTTTGTACTGATAATAGGGCTTGATTCCCCCCCCCAAAAATCCCCAATACCTCTACCTTTAAGTTGTCTTTTCATTGTGGCCCTCAAAGCGTTAACATTTGAAATTAGAGACTTAATTACAAAGAATCACACGAAGCGTCTGACAACAGGAAACCAATTGTTCACAACTTGCACAGAACACACACACACAGGGAGTTAGAGCTAGATCACTTACTGTCACTGGAGCCTATTTGTTATTTTCCCAGCTTGACAATGAGGACGCAAATGGTTCAATCAGGGCTGTGACACTGATCACACAACGCTTACATTGATACAAGCTATTTGATGTTACTCGTATAGGAGTTTGGTTAAAGCTTTCTTGCATAGAGCGCTGCATTTATCCCTTTTTTTTTTTACAGATCTGATTGATAATTGCTTTTCCACTTGTAACGAAAACATTTCCCGGGAAATTTTTTACCTAAAAATCTTTTTTGAAGTCAAAATTCATCTTAATGCTTCAGAAACGCTGACATTGGGTTGGTCATAGATTAACTGTTTTGGACTAATTCAAGACAGTAACCAAAGGAGTCGACCCACAACAGAGATATGAATTTATTTTTTAAAGCGGGGAGTAAATCCCTTACCACGGATGAGTCTGTTTCAGGGGGAATATGTCATAACAGACACCGCCTCTATATTACAGCTCCTGCAGCTTTACCTCTTCGGATCTAGGGGGTGTTACTTACCGCCTGTGTGTGTGTGTTTCCCAGGGTCAACGGGACTCCATCACCCCTCTCGCTTAGCCCCTCTCCAGCCAGCAACGGAGGAGGAGGCGGGGCGGGGTCAACGGGCAGCGTGGCCATTCCCCAGAGGATTCACCACATGGCTGCCAGTCATGTCAACATCACCAACAACATCCTGCGGAGCTACGAGCACTGGGAGACTGCTGACCGACTGGCCGCTGACAGCCAGGGTAAGACTACGCACACACGCCAGGTCGCTTAGATTTTTCCACCGAGCGCCCCCTGTTACGTCGACCCACTCAGGAACACACTCATGAATTGTTTTGGGGGTTTTTTCCAACATCTGGAAACGTTTAGACGCCATAAATCTCCTCCGGCCGCCCCGTTATCTCACAGCAGCCGAGACGTAGGGCCGCTGTCATTTTTGTTCCATTGTGTTTTTTTTGTTCCGTTGCTCACTTAAGTCCAAAACTCCTTAGCAGTTGTAAATCTGCTCCCCGGAGGTTTTTTAAAAACCCGCCTGACAGCCGGCGATTAGACGAAAAAAAAGACAAATCTAATCTGTGCTGTAGGTCACGGTCACACAGAAATGCCGTAGATACGAACCGCCGAGCGAGAAAAAGGGTGGACGTGTGAGGAGAAAAACATTTTAGAGTTCTGTTTAGAAGGACGGCAACAAATGGTGGAATATCTAACACCGATGGGTGGGTATGACTGCCTTCCTCACTTGTGGAGAGTTAATTACATCCTCCTCCCAGGAAATAGGCAGCCAGTATCTCGGCCTAATGACCGCATTACATTACTCCAATTCAGATTTTCTAGCTTATCTAAACCATAAAACCCAACAGTCTGCCTTCACTGACTCTAGCTCTGATTGCAATGGCATCATTTTTAATACGTTTCTGCAATGTCGCAAAGTTATTCCAAATCTGGAGTCACGGTGAGACGTTGTCGTATCTTCTCCAGCAAGTCGGAAAAGATTCTCGGTGAGGTCTAGAGAAGTGCTGGGGTCTTGGATGTGGCCCCTTTTGTTTAACCGCGGGGGTTGGGGGTAAAAAAAATGCTTCCATAGAAGAAACGTCATCCCCGATCGTCAGGTTGGACTTTAGAAGTGGGGAATAGGACTTTGGACATCTGCTTTTCTGTCCCCGTAGAGCCCTTAAGAGACGTGTCCCATTTACAGGTTTTAAGCTAATGGAGCTGAACACTACAGACCGCCGAGGAGACACGGTTGAGCTTTCAGCAAAATCAGAGCAATGAATTGTTAATCTCTGGTCTTTTCACGGCATTCACACTCCTAAGAAAAATACAAGAGCTCCCGAAACCCCGCAGTTGTCCTGGGTTAATAGAGCTCAAGCAGGGGGGTTAGACCAGTTCCCGGTCCCTGGTTCAAATCTCCGGGATTGTCTGGGAGGGGTGACACACACCGACCGAATTTGAATTTATCTTGAATGCAACCGAATTTGCCTAAAAGGACCCTTTCAAAGGGATGCAACATTACAAAGGCTGAAATTGAAGGTATTGCTACTGGGGAAGTTGTGTACAGATTCTGGGAGCTGATAGTGGTCAAATCCAGCTGCCGACTTTCTGTTGCTGCATATTGCCGATGTATTTCCCTGTAAGAATGAACCGAATTTCATCTCAATCCCTAACTATTTTCTCCCCCTTCCGTCTGCCAGTAGGTGGCCGATCGACCAAAAGTTAAAATAGTGGGAAATAGGGAGGTGTTAAAGCTTTTGTGAATTCAAGCAGAAAAATAAAATAAAATAACAGTTGTATTATTTGAGCAGCAGTCCCCTTTTGTAACTTTGTGTGCTTCGCCTTGACCCCCCACCCCCTCCCCCACCCTGCTGCAGACTTCTTCCAGGAGCTGGACTCCGTCATGGAGTCGATGAGTCAGCAGAGCAGCATGACCGAGCTGGTGCGCTACATCAGACAGGGACTCCACTGGCTCCGCATAGATGCCCACCTGTTGTAAAGACTGGAAACGAAATGGGGAAAAGCCAACAAAACAACGACATAAAAAAAGAGGGAAAAAAATGCCATGGGAACTAGAACTGGGGTAACAAGTGAGGTGAGACGTAGAACGCCGGTTCACTGCCCACTCTGGCCCTTTGAAAGGGGTCACCGTTAATGGACTGAACCCATTAACCGGCCCGAAACGCACACGCGATTCCCCCGAGTTTAGGAATGTGTCTAAATCGAGGAATTAGGCCAATTAGCATGCGAAGCATACAGATGCTGAGTCACCGTATCCGTCCCGGAAGCTCAAGCTCCCGAGGAGACGGTAAAAGTTGCACACATGTCTGAGGCTGTGAGGGGTCGAAAAGAACAAGAGAGATTAATGTTTTTACACGTAGTTTGACAATTTAATCTAAGAAATAATTTTTGATAAACCACAAGTATGAGCCATTTGTGGCCAGCATTACAGGAAACAGCATACGGATTCAACACCATTACAATAACTATATTCGAAGTAAGAAATTGCATAGGCACTTTTACTTATTTATTTATTTATTTATTTGACTTCAGATGAGCTGAAAATGTCGATGTGTATTATACATGAGAAAAATGAATTTTTCCAAGGGAAGGGGCAAATTTCATGGTGCATATTACATGCAATTACTGCTGGGAGCCCATACATTACAGTACACATATTTAGCACCAAGGAGATGTTCATTAAATGTCAGTTGGGCACTTTGACAGAAACAATTTGCAATTTCATGGGAGGAATGTAAAACAGAGTCACAATGATGCTAATTCTTAACATAACAAAATTCAATTTGAATTTTGTCAAACAGTGTTTAGTCCTCTTTAGTCCTGCTAACACTGTAACATCTGGCTTCTGTGTAGAATTGGAAAGCATATAATTGGCATCCATTCCCACATAAAAAAAACTGTAATAATGTGGGAAATATTGAATAGGCTTGAATTAGCAGCTGTACCCACATTAATTTAGTCATTTTCTTACACTACTTTTGGCACAGTGGTATTTGGTCATGAGGTACTAAAACTTCTCACTGAATAAAACCTGTTTTGTAGCATTTTTTACAACAGTTTGAGGAAAATACACCGTGCTGAGTTGTTAGATTTGGGGCTCATTATTAATGGCGCTGAAAAGGATTAACCTTTTCAGCTCTAACTGTGTATTTTCACATTTAAATAACTACTAAGACTTGTTCAAAGAGGGGTTATTTATTTTCAGGAGCCAGCTCTTCTTCTCCAGTCATCGTGATGTAAAGCTAGACCAAAATCTTCCTCTTCGTCCAATGGCGTTCACCTTAAATATTTCAGAGGAGCTCCAAATGGGGGGGATTCAGTGATCATAAGTGAATTGGTTCATTTGACCCCCTATAACCAGCCAAATAGTATCTTCCTTTCTCAAATGGCTACAGTCAGTCAGTCAAACAGGCTGCCAGTAGGTCCTGTAAGTGCAGAGGTCTGAAAAACGACAGCTTGGTTTGGTGGTCCCAAATATGAGGGCTTTTTTTTTCCCCAATCATTTTTTTTTGTTTTTTTGTTTTTTTTCCCTCTCTTGGTGGTTTTGAGCTTTTGTGAAATTACACTCAGTTCTAGTTCCCATAGTAACCCACCCACTGTGGTGTCAAATATTTACCGGGGACTAAAAGATTCAGTATGATACGGCTCTAATTAAGCCACCACCCATGTGCGGCGCGGGGAAGTGCGCAGAGAATTCTTGCGTCGGCTTCTCTGCCCTGATGTCAAAGTGAATCTGTGACTTTGTACAGCTCTTAATGAGATCAAATCAACTGCCGGGTATCTTGTAGTCATTTCCCAACATTCGTTGTGTAGTGTTGTTTGTGTGTATACGTGTACAGACGATTGTCAAGTGTATCTAAATCATTACCTTATCGAACAATAATGATGTTTGTGTACCATAATGTACAGACTGTGGCTCCTGGAACCAGTGTTGTTTTTTTGTTTTTTGTTTTTTTTTGTGTGTGTGTGTGTCTTGTAAATGATTCTGTGTGAACGAATGAGGGAGAAAAACTAGAAGATTGGCTACCTTCGAATGTCTGTGTGAGTCGTGTGTGTGTGTGTGTGTGTGTGTGTGTGTGTGTGTTTGTGTGTGACCATGCACACAGCAGCAAACATAAGGGGGCTTTTAACTCTTTGTGGTGCGTTCCCAACAGCGTTTCCCGTGTGTTGTCGCATGTGCCACAGAGTCTCAAAATCTGCTCGTCATGGTTTCTGTAATGACCATTAGATCGTTTTACCATCGCTGAATGTGTATGGAAGACAATGTGGATGTGGAAATTCATTTTCACTTTATCAAAAAAAAGAGAAAAAGAAAGAAAAAAAGAAAGACAGAAGGAAACTCAAGTGCCTCTATTTGTGTCCACTTGGAATTGCTCTATTTATTTAAAACAAAGAATGGATCTAAATAATTTTCCATACCATATTGGTATAAATATGAGATTGTTTTTCGTAAAATCAGATGTTTCCATAAGCTTTTTACTGGTGTTTATGATGACACCAGGGTTTGGCTTTAAGACAAAAACGTGAGATTCAAGGGTTAGCGTTAGGGTTGAGTTAGCATCTGTTACTATCATTTCTTTTCTTAATGATTTCAACAAGTCTGGGTTTGTCTGAAATGCCTGAAACTTTCAAGTCATTGCATGCAATAAACCGTAGCTTCAGACCAAGAACTTCTTGTATCAATTTCAAGAAAGTAAAAAGGAAACTGTGTGCTTCTTGTTGCATAAGTCATTAACAGTGTGAATGATCCATGTCACCTGAAGAAAGCTGCTTTCAATACACACCAATACGTTTAACAGTCTAAAGGAAAGAACACAACAAAATCCCTTGATGGTGAAACCATGAAGAGGAAGGATAGAACCCTCATGACTTCTAATTAAAAAAATAGCTGCATCACTTAGCTTAGCTTAGCTTAGCATACAGAAATGCAATGGGCAAACGGCAGGCCTTGATTTAACCAAATGTGAATCCAGTGAAATGTTAAACATTCTGTGCCCAGCCTTGTCCAAATTTTGGAAAAGTACAAAAAGGCACATAGTACTTATTTTTCAGTGAGACTGGACTGCTTGAAATCGATAGGCGAATGCCTACCCCGTCCCAATCCAAAACTTAGCTTAGCTAATCAGCATCATTTGCTAACTATTTGTGGTTCCATAGAGATGCAAGATTTTTTTTTTTTCTTCTAAAGGAAAAACAAAGCAGCAGATGCACATCCAAATTCCTATCATTTGATACAAAACATTTTTTTATTTTTTTATGGAGTGTCCCTTTAGCCAACAAATCTCCATAACCATCTGCAAACAAAACCCCCAAACCAACTCTCTTTGACTTCATTTGTTACGAACCTCTACCTGATTCACAGTGTTGCTCATTTCATATCAATAATATTTGGTGTTTTTGTTTTTTTACAGTAAAACAGTGATGTGGATGTATGACTTTTGTTTGTTTCAATGGTCCCTCATTTCGGGTATATGCAGCAAAATAATATACAATAATTTGCAGTAAAAACTCATAGCATTGCATTAGCATTAGCAAACATGCACCAATTAATTCCCATTCATGCAAAAGATCATTTATATGCAATGTGAATATGTGAGTATACATTTTGGAAGCAGATTTCTTTTAGCATGCCTGGTTATACTGCTATATCTTATTAGATATCTCATTGGTTACTATTGCATTGTTGCAGTTGTCAACATGTTGTTGAAAGGCAGCAGTGACAGAAATATATATCACTGTGGTAGCTAATAGCAAGCTAAACACGCTGATTCATTGCTTAAGAGCAAATGGGAACAAGCCAATATACATGGATAGGCTCTCCAAGGGATATTTGTTTGAAGTATAGATATATTTTCATTAATTCGTGAGATTGCCAAAACTGCCTCTAAAAGCAAACCACCAGTATTGGTCCCTTCACAGTCCTTGTTTTTTTTTCTGCCAGTACAGACAAACTTCTAGATAATACCAATTAATATAATGTATAACCTATCATCCTCTTATCATAAAGAGGTAAATGAGAGTTTTGTCAAATCTGTGCAAATAGGATACAGAGCAATACAAAGTTTCAGGACTCATATTTTACAAAAACGTGCTAATACACTTGTTTAATAACTGTTTAATAACAGCTTAATAGAGTTAAATCCACTGTTGTGCTCAGTATGTTGCAACAGACTCCAATTCAAACTAGAGAAGAGTTAGTCATTGTCATGTTTTGCATTGTCAAGGCCTAAGAAAGTAGTTTTGATGCACCAGCACACCACAGCAGCCAGCGATGTTACAAGGTGCCAAGCACAAAGCCGACATCAAATCTTGGGGCGGCAGCCATGACAGCAGCAGCCACATGGCGCTTTTCCACCAGTGCCTACTCAGCCTGCTCTACGCTGTCTTTTAAGCATTTCCACCAGGGGCCAGCCCCACTAAACAGTTGCAACCTTAGCACCTACTCAGTTGGGGTTCTATCAGGGCTGAGTAGGGCTGCCGGGTGCTGATTGGCCGGGAAATCAGATGATTGGATAGCGAGTACTAACTGAAGCCATCCCTGTGGTTTAAAAAAAAAAACAGCAACAGCAAACGTCTGATTTCATTACTTCTATTGTCATAAACATTGTAAATGCCTAACACACGACGGTAAATAGTTGCCGTCATTGTTGTTGTGTCGGCCCGGCTTTTTGTTTGGCCGTAATTTGGAATGTAATTACCATTCGACCTAAACCGAATGGAGCCGTTCCAGGTTGAACTGAGCAGGCCTGAGTAGGTACTAACGGAAAAGCGCCATTAGTCGCCTCCATGGTAATGTGCAACAGATTTTGATCTGCACCAACAAATTAAAATACCATAGCAGTATCCAATTGTTTAATAACTGACTAAGTATTGTAACATTTCTAAAAAAGAGGCTTTCAAACTAGTATTTTTGACCTGTAGCTTGTAGAAGATTGTTACACTAATAGCTTGTTCGCTAATGTTAATACTTTCTTCGAGGGGGAGGACTGATATTGGGATATTTTTACTGGTGTTTTAATTTGGTTCTTGTTTACATTTAGAACATAAACCAGCTACATGATAGTTGTTTTGGTTTGTTTTTTATTAACAAAGCAAAACATGACTTTGACGTCCTGTCGTTAGCCAATTGGTCATTAATCTGACACTGGGCCACTCCAAGTAAAACAAGGGGGTTATTAGCCTTGCATAACAGAGCTAAAAGGGTAGGACTATCTTTATGGATAGCTCAAATAAAAAAAAAATAAAAAAACTTGATCACAAATTCACAGACAGGTTGTATAATAGAATTTGTATATGTTACCATCCCAAAGAATAAATCTGGTTGTGTTGTGGGTTAAAATAAGTGGGTTGGGGATGGCTGTTTAACCATCTGCCTAGCTTTTCAATGCCAGTAACAGAAACAGTCCCAAAACATTTCTAAATGCTGATTATGTATGGATTTTCAAAATCTGGACTCAGGTCAGAGCGCTGTTTCTAATCAGGATACTTACAATTGCTAGTTTACTTCCTAGTACATAGTGTTTAATAATGTGGGAAATCCAAGCGAAATCAACCCATTAAACAGGAAATTCCCATCAGACTTTCAGACTTTCTATATACAACTAATTCATCGTAAGCAGATTTTTTAAAATGAAAAATGACATTTAATGGTAAAACTGAAATAGTCTGAGATTTCTTGGGGAGATTTAAATTTAAAAACTGCCCTGTGGTAACATGTTATGACTTCCCTGGCTTCCACTCACTCCACTTTGTTTTTGTGTTTGAGGAATAGCTTCCTCATCCTGACGAGTGCATGGCAGATTAATACCATACATTAATAGTATTCCGGGGGATCATTTTGATACCCCTTCACAACAGAATCCAAACTAGTTTAATCCAATAATGTTAGATTGCGGGGTGGAATCTGGAAAGTTACGGTCAATAAGATATAGCAAAATTTGGACATTTCAAACCAGCCATTGGTGGATTGAGCACAGCAGCAACATGGTGCCAGAGGAATCTCCTGCCTGTGGGTCTGATGTACATCACTGACTAAATGCAACGATGTAAAGAGCTCTGCGAAGTACAACAAACAAAACACATCCGTCCAACATGGGTTGCATTGTTTTTCTAACTGTGTTGCACAATTTATTGCCCATTTTTCCGTTTCTATCAGTGCTCTCTTTTGGTCTTTTCTATGGTTCTTTTTTATAATGAAGTTGTTCTATGTGATGATCAAAAGTTGTGATGCAGTTCCATTGTTTTTGAATATTTAATGTCTCTGAAATATGGATTAAAATCTGTTTGAACAAGTGATCCTGCGGTCTTCTTTTTTTTCGTTCTTTTTTTTTTTATCGAACATGTCTTTTTATGGTTGATTAAACGAACACGCTGACCTACATTACTGATGGAGCAACTCATTTAACTGGTAACAATTAAAAGCAAAAATTATGAAAAAAGACTAATATCATTGTGTCATCCCACGGGGTTTTTCCTGATGAACAGTATGATTTTTACACCCAGTGAGATGATTCTATGAATAAGACAAGTTCCTTTGAGAAGCCTTTATATACATATGAGCCAAGTTAGTCGTGTTGTACCACTAATGAACTCGTATCTCTACATCATAGCAACTATTAGGCAACTTCACATGATTAATTCATTGTATATAGTTGCACAGGGGGGTGTGATCGGGAAAGGAAGATGGACTAAACAGTGTGTGAGAGAAAATGAAAAGAATGAGGACAGACAAGGAGTGCTGATATAACACCAGATTTGAAATGTGTTTTCTAGAAGACATAAATCTCTTCTAATTAAGTATTCCCATAAATAAGTAAGAGGCTGGAAAGTCTTTGAAGACCTTAAGATACACTAGGCTGAATATGTGTGTGTTGGGGGGTGTCCTGGGAATTTATTTTTATATGTTCAATTGTCATATATCACATGCACACAATCAAACAGGCTCAAAGAGATATTATCTAACACGTACACACACACACTGGCGATAACTGGGAAAATAATACTGTATGCATACATTTGCCCCAAAAGCTGAGACCAGCGCAGATAAATGCACACATTTAGTCAGATGGAGCATGCTAATCACTTTAGAACATCACAGCCCTCGATGTAATGCCTAAATTTTACGACAGCATCTCCAGATCCAGCCGGCTAAAACACAATTAATGTATTCAGTCTTATGTTGAGAAACCCAGCTGACAGATAAAGACCGGGGCAAACCCTGGCACTCTCTAGTATTGTTTCAGAATTCTATGAGTGGCCCAAACTTGCAGCCTGAAAAGTTCTGAATCTGTGAGGAGCTCCTCATGTTACATTCGAACAGATTTTGAGAACAAGTAACTCGATCTTGGGTCCTTAAAATCAAACCCGCGAAAGAGGAGTTCCACAGCAAAGTCAGTTAAACATAAGTCAACTTATATTGACTTATATTGTATTGACACACTTTGTCTTTGAGTTCCTCAAACTTAAATAGCAGTTGGACAAGGCTTCAGCACCACGTTTGATCCCATACAGTACAATACAGTAGATGCACTCACTATTACAGGTGAATTTTCTTAAATGCTTGTCATTTTTCTGCCTCAAGGCATTTTAATGGGACAGTTTTGTAGGAGATCGTGGGTAATCTTATGCAGCCATGCGATGGTGGCATGGTAAAAAGAATGTATTTGAGTCCAAATCAAGATTGTGTTCAAATTCCAGACCAAGTGTCGTTGTTGGTTTAAATCCCAGGAAGAGGCTATGGTGTTTCAGTAAAATATTCTTGGTTAACTGACTGAAAGTATGTTTAAAAAAAGAAAAAAAACTGAATGTCCTAAGTATGATTTTGCTCAAAGAATGTGTTACTTGGATTGGTCTTTTGAACTCTGTATAAACCCTTAAACTTGTGTTTATGAAGGTGATAGTTGTGTTGTAAAGAGAATGTTATTTCAGTCCTAAGCTTAGACTTTTTTTTTCCCACTCAAATTGATATTTTGCCCAAACTCAACCAAGATTTCAAGGACTTTTTAATAAAGCATTAATATTAACAGTACAACGTAGCTCATACACTAAGTTGAAAAGTGCGACCCCGTCCTCCTCATTAAAACCCCATGGTTTCAGAACTTGAAACCATTATTTGAATAGCAATTTCCAAGAGAGACACAGTCTTTTATTACTGTTCAAGCAGTATTTTACAGGAAGTCACCATGAGTCTTCAAATCTTAACAAATAGTCTTTTTAAACATAGCAGATTTTAAGGGCATGAACCAATAATCCATTTGATTACTTTAAAAACGTGTTGATAGTGCCACAACTAACAGTTGTGTGTAAGTGTGTGTTGATTATGATACAATGTCTTAAATTGAATTTACACGACTACTAGAAATCTTACTGTAAAAGATCATTATTATTTCCCCACGCACATTGGAAAACTGCATTCTGAAAACAATCGTAATAGTGAATCGTACTGTAATAGTAATTGACGATTCACAAAAAATGAAAAACCCTGATTGCCTAAAGACTTGTTTGCACCTGCTAGACTCTGTTAGAGTGGCACATTGAACAGATTGCTACTCCCTTCATTCTTCTTGCTTGAAAGAGCAAAGACATTTAGTATGCAGTGATGAGCCTGAATGAACTCAAGCTCTATAAACGATTGTTAATTAAATAAAATAATTTCAATTTAAAAGCATCTTTGTGATTTTACCTTAAATGGTGCAAAACACACAGTGGTGCTGCCTCCCCCCTGTTCAGTTCCACCACGGACTGTTGAGCAGATGACAACTTCTGCTGATCAATGATGGGAATTTCTGAAAAAGTGCAGTAATTAGGATCAGGAATCATTTAAAAAATGTACTCCAGTGTTACGAGTTCGGCCATGTTTTCGGTTATGATCTGCTTTTCGTTTTGAGCTTCCTTGTAAGTTTTGGTACATCGGTGTGCTGTGGATTGTTCTGTGATCACTTTGCTTTCCGTGCTTTTCTTAGCTGATTATTCTATTTTATTATTTTGTCCTCCCTTTCCCATTTTCTTCATAGTTTCCTTAGTTACCTCTCGCCTGTCTCCACTCACTAATAATCCTCCTCAGCATCTGAGTTCCACGGCTCAGATTTATTACTTCCTTCTTAATATCAGTTTGTTTACTAGTAATTTGTTTCTGGGTTGTTGTTTTTTTTTGTATGTATGTATGTTTGTATGTTTTTTAAAATATCAAATTAAAAGATAAAAATCAGTTCACTATCTCCGGTCTCCTGGCCATGGCTGATTTGCGTTTGGTTCCATCTCCTTCTCGTCAGTGTGTTGCTGGCATGAAGTCTAAATGACTGTGGAGCTGGTCATTCCAGACTTGTGCATCTACACTGGTCCAGAAAATATCGCCAGATGTCTCCGACACTGTTCGGAACCTGGCTGGAACCCTGTCCGTTTAAAATTTGACGCAGCTGGCTGAGCTCTGAGCGTTCCATTGCCTGGAAAGGGAGCAAACTTCCTGGGATGTGCACCACTGTGCTGAATAAGCTTTCCTTCCATAAAATGACTGACTCCAAATATTTGGAAAACCTCTGCCTTTATAAATAATGACGTAGTTTTTCAAAGTTTAATTGACCACGTGTTATCTTTGTCAGGGCCGTATGATTTCTTCTTACTCTTTATGCGAAAACACTGAAAAGGTTTTCAGTTATTTTCCTAAATTTACAGACCCATTGTGCTCTGTGTAAAGCGTTTCTGTATGTTTGACCACAACAAAGTACTACTTGTTGACCATAGTCAATACTTGAACTCTGTTCAGGGTTGAACTCATTATTAATTGAATTCTTGGAGATATTTATGAAGTGATTGAGTCAAATAAAATGTGAAAAAACTCTGCTCTCAACCGCCGTCCAAAAAAAAAAAGCCTTCCCATGCGTCCTCTGTATTTAGTTTGACCTTTTTGCACATGAAGTGTAAACTGTTCGTGTCCTTCCACCTGCTGATATAAAGTGTGCTCCTCCAACACTGAGTGAAGCGTTGGTCCTTGACTGGTGAGTGGTGTCATATTTATTCTTGCTGAATCCTTGGATAGTGTTGAGGACTAGAGTTGAGCGTACAAATAAAATAATATGTCCTCTTTGCATTAGCTTATAACCATTTCAGATCACTGCCCAGGGCCGCTCCGTCCCTCTGGCTACATGGACGAGGCCAACAGAGAGGTTGTTCTCTCATTTTTAATTTGTTCAGGGTTTGTTTTTGTTTTTTTTCCTTAGCAGAGGTTTGTCTGTGGTTAAACTGGACGTGTGGAAATTCTGCACCTCAGCTGAGTTAAATGAGAATATTTCACATTTCATCAGCCTTGAGCCACCAGACAGATTTAAGTAGCTCAAGTTTGAAGAAGTGGGCGATGTCTGAGGCATAATAAACAAGAATGCTTGGTTTACATGAATTTATGCTGTCTGTTG